GCCGCCAGCTCCGTGTCTGCCGAGCCATCGCCTTGGCCTGTCCCGGCCCCCGGGGGTCTCGGCATCTCTGTGGTTTCCAGCTCGTGCCTGGGTTTCCCCCCGCTCGGGCATTTGTCACCCACCAGCAGCTGGGGTGCACTCGGGGCTCAGCACCTCTCCATTGAGTCTGCTCCGTGCCCTCCTGCCCAAGCAGGATGAGAGCAAGGGTCCTGGTGGCAGTGATCCCTGGTACGCAGCCCGCGGCCCCTGGGGAGCTGCGCTCTCATGGGACAGCAGGCGGTTTGCACTGCAGCACGTGGCAGGCTGCACGAGCCCCCAGCCCCTGCCTGCTCCTAGCCCCCCTTTCCCTGCAGGGGTTCGTGTCGCCCATCAAGCGGCTGGTTTTCCCCAAAGCCGCTCGCCGGCAGGCGCTCCGGAGCAGCTTCTACCGCCGCCCGCTGCACTCGGTCCCCCTCTACCCCCCAGATTACCTCATCGACCCCCAAATCCTCCTGCACGACTACGTGGAGAAGGAGGCGAAGGTGAGCGGGTTGGGGGGCCTCGGGGCGCTGGGGGAACTGTCTCCCTCCGGCCAGGCCCCAGAGACAGGGCACGTCTGGCTGCAGCCCCCCAGGCTGTGAACCCCGGCTGTGGCATGCGGGGCTCTGACAGGCAAAGTGATGGGGCTAGGGTCACAAAGGAGGCTGTGGCAGAGCACCAACCAGAGCTTCCCACACCTTGGGCAGTGCTCTAACCATTGGACCCTCCATCCCAAAGCCACTTCCCAATGACCTGGGAGGCCCGGCTCTCCTGGGCCCAGAGCTTGTCTGCTTCAGGCCCAGAGGTGGCAGGACCGGGAGCCACCCCCTGCAGCAGTCTCACTTCAGTTTCTAGGCCACTTGACGTGGGTGACCTCCTCTCTGAACCCCTCCAGCCGGGATGAGCTGCTGCAGCTGCTGGACACAGCCAGGGTAAGAGGGTGTCGGCAGAAGTTGCGGGGGCTCGTGCCCCTTGGTGGGTAGGGAGGAGAAGTGCCCGGGCTGCTGTGGGCACAAAGGGCCCGTAGCTTGCAGAGAGAGGCAAGAAGGGCAGCCGTCTACCAGCATGAGCTTCCTCCCGCCATGCCCCGAGTCACTGGCTCCATCCTGGCCAGCCGGGTCCCAGCCCACCGCCACCCCCAAACCTCCCGTGCCCCTTGCAGCAGCTGAAGTAGCTGCCGCTGAAGACCACGCCGGAGCAGGACAGCATCCTGAGCCTGTCCGCCCGCTGCCTGCTGCTCACCTGGAGAGACAACGAGGAGCTCATCCTCCGCATCCCCACCCACGAGATCGCCGCTGCTTCTTACCTGCGGGACGATGCCTTGCACCTCCTCGTGCTGAAAACAGGTGCCCGGGCCCCTCTCCCCACCGCCCCCGGCCCCACGGACCCAGGCCCCTCTGTGCTGCCTTGGGAGGACGGTTGCTTCCCCCGCGGCTCCATCCCAGGCTGGGCAAGACCTGGGACAGGGGCCTTGCAGCAGTCTGTGCCCAAAGAGCCACTGAGCCTGGGGTCCCAGGGCCTGTGGGAGGGGGCAGTTCTGGCCCCCACTCCGATTGAAGTGCCCGGCCAGAGCTGGGGAGGCAAGAGGAGCCCATCTCTCCAAGGGTCGGGGTTGGAGTGGGTTGGGCGCAGGATGCAGTCCCAGGGTGGGACCCACTCCCCAGTATCAGCAAACGAGGTTCCTTCTCCTGGCATGGAGGCTGCTAAGCCCGGGTCTCTCCTCTCATCTCCTGCAGGTCTGGGTGTGGACCCGGTGCCGGCCGGGGGCAGCCTGGACATGTACCCGGGGGGCATCCTGGAGAAGAAGTTCCCAGGAGGGGCAGCGGAGAAGCGGCCGGGGGGCGGCACCATGGAGCGCCGGCACACCATCTGCAGCCTGGACTGGAAGATGGCACGGGGCGGGCAGGAGGGCAAGCAGGCCGGGGGCGGCAGCCTGGAGCGCAAGCCGGCCGGCGGCAGCTGGGAGAAGCAGCGTGGCGCCCGGCCCTTCGGGAGCTGGGAGCGCCGGCAGACCCACGGCGGGAGCTGGGAGCGCCGGCAGACCTACAGCGGGAGCTGGGAGCGGGGCAAGGCGGGGGGCAGCTGGGAGCGCCGGCACGCCGGGGCCAACCCCCTGGAGCCCCAGGAGACCAGCCCCGAGGCCTACTGCAACCTGGTCATCCTGGCCGTGGCCAACCGGGTGAGTGGCTGTGGACGCGGCCCCCTGGCTGGGCAGCCCCCACGGCCGGCTTGCCGACCCCGCGCTCTCTCCCGGCGCAGGACGCGGCGGAGGAGTCCTGCGCGCTCATCTGCCAGGTCTTCCAGATCATCTACGGCGACCAGAGCATCGAGTGCGTGGACCGGGCCGGCTACCACTACACCTCCACGCCCGAGCGCCCCTGGCTCTACAGCCGCAGTACGTGACCGGGGGTCCGGGCGGGTGACCTGGGAGGTGCGGTGGGCCAGTCTTTGGACCCCGGGCAATGGTCTGGTTTGTTCTCGCCTAACCGGGTGGAGGCAGCGGTGGCTGGAGAGCGGGGCCAGACGTGGGGCTGGCGCCTCCCCTCACCCCCGGGCTTCCTCCCCAGTTCAGCTGCTGCAGCTCCTTGTACGTTCTGCTCTCTCGCGTCTAAATCCCCCTCCCCAGCCCCTGGCTGCAGCCCCCGCTGCCCCCCACGCAGGCATAAACTCATGGAGGTGCTCTGCATCCAGCTGCTTCCCGTCCCGGCTGCTCTGCCGGAGAATAATAGCCTCCCACTGCTGGCAGCTGGGGGAGTTCCTCCTCAGTCCCAGCATGCATTGCTGGGTGCTCCCCCCAGGGGCTGCCCTTGCTCTTAGGGTCAGAAGAGGGACTTAAACTGTCCCCTTCTCCCCGCCGACAGACAGGTAAGTAAGCGGCAGGCCAGTAAACCCTCCCCTTGTGTCCAAAGTCACGTGTGGCCCCACGTTCATTTAGTGGCTGACTTGCAGAGGGGCCTGTGGCCACGCGGCCGTGCCGGTGCTGACCCACGTTTCCCAGCACGCCCAGCCCAGGTGCCACGGTGCCTTTTGGGGTATAGAGGGCTCCAGCTGGCAGGGGCTTCTGGCATGGCTGGCGTGGGCTGGGGCATGTTTAGCCTTCAAAGCAAGCTCAGCAGGCAGGGCGGTGGGTCGGGGTCCCCGGCTGATCGCCGTCCCTTCGGCCTCCAGCAACGGCTCCCACGAGACCTTTGAAGCCTACTACAGCGGGACGTCCTCACCCTCCTTCCGGCAGTCGCATCACAGCCTGGCCACGGCCTGCAGCGGGAGCGACCAGAGCAGCGTGGGGCTGGAGCAGCTGCAGGACTACATGATCACGGTAGGGATCGCTGCGCTCCCCGACTGCCCCGGAGCCTGGGCAAGGGCAGGGCCCTTCTCGGGGATGTCTCCAACCCTGCTGGCGTGTCTGCCCCGCAGCTGCGGAACAAGCTGTCTCCCCCGGAGATCCAGGAGTTCGCCCTGCTGCTGCGGGAGTATCGCCTGGGCATGGCCGTGCAGGACTACTGCGCCGACCTCCTGCGGCTCTACGGGGACAAGCGCAAGTTCCTGCTCCTGGGTGAGTGTCCAGGCACCCGTGGGGGCTCTCGGATGGAGCTGGGTCTGGGGCCTCCCTGTGCCCTTCCCTCCGGCCGGACCGGGCTTCCTGCGCCCCTGCAGCGGGGAGCTCTCCCCAGGCCCAGCCCGTGCCTGACAGCTCCCCGTCTGCCCAGGCATGCGGCCCTTCATCCCCGACCAGGACATCGGCTACTTCGAGGGCTTCCTGGAGAGCATCGGCATCCGGGACGGGGGCATCCTGACCGACAGCTTCGGGCGCATCAAGCGCAGCATGAGCAACACGTCGGCCTCGGCCGTGCGCAGCTACGACAGCTGGTCCCTGCGCCCCGAGGCCGAGTCCTTCAACCGCCGCATCACGGACATCACGCACGACATCGAGGCCCTGGCACGCGACCAGGGCGATGGCGAGGATGAGGATGAGGATGAGGATGAGGACGAAGAGGACAACTACCTATGAGGGGGGACCCTGCCCCTGCCTGCTTATGGGAGGCTGAGCCCCCGGGCATCCCAGGTGGCACCGGCTCGCACTCCCCTTCTGCCTGGGGCTGCCCAGGCTTTTAACCTTGCAGCTCCTGTGATGCTGCCTGCTCTCTCCCTTGCACCGTCTGCCATCAAGGACAAGGACAGGGAGCCGTAGCCCTTCCCTGATGTGGCGGGAGCCCGTGAGGATCCCTGCACGCTCCAGGTTGGGAGGAAGGGGCCGGCTGGAGCTGCTGCTTCTGTTCCAGGGGCCGTGGGGGGAGGTTGCAGGAGGGGGCAGCTGCTCTGTGCAGGCAGGCGGCTTTTGTTAGCGCTAATTGGATTCCCTCACACCCCCCTTGAGGGGAGCCCGGAGCCCCTGGGGTGGCACTGACATGTGTGATCATTGATGCTGCATGCAATTAAAGTCCGGGGCTGGCAGGCGGGTGCGGAGTGCTACGCAGGCCAGGCAGGGAGGTGAGAGGGGGGCCGAGGGGACCGTCTCCTTTGTGGGATCAGGGATGTCATCTCTGCAGGCTGGGGCTGGCGGAGGGAGCGACCTGCTCTGCTTCACGCCCTCCTGCCTCAGGCAACGGGTTCTGCCCTGGGCCAAGTGCAGGGGGCTCTTGTTGGGGGGCACGGCCTGGACCCTAAATGCTGGAGGCTGCGAGTGGAAGAGGAGCAGGGGGAATCAGACCCAGCTCTCTCTCCCCACCAGCCTCAGCTCTCTGCTGCCCTGGGCGAGACAGACCCAGTCCCTGGCAGCTCTTATGGGCTCGCAAGTCTCTGGGCTCCGGCAGCAGCAACCGGGGCAGGGAGCAGCTCCTCAACCTGGAGAAGGCTCGGTTCAGGGACCGACGTGGCCCGGGCTGGCACGAGCGAGCCCTGTGCAGCGATGAGGAGCTGGTCCTCTTTCCAGCAGAACCTGGCGCAGGAGCCGGACGGCGGCGGTGGCCGTGCCAGGCTGGGTGGCGCGGTGCCACGGTGCACAGCTGCCATCTGCTGGCCCCGTGGACGATTGCGGCAGCCACGGCCCGGCTGGGGCTGGGCAATGAGGAACTCGTGGACCCCCCGCAACGCCTCCCTAACCAGGCAGGGAGATACCGAGGGCTTTCGGGCAGCCTTGGCTACTGCGGCGAGCACCAGGGAGCTGCTCTGCCCTGCCAGATGTGACCCCGTGCAGCTCTGGAGGGAGGAAATGGACCCCACGTCCCCTCCCGGGGCTGGGCAGGGGCAGGTTTCTGGGGCTTTGGTGCCCTGGGTTGGAAGAGGCTCTGGGGGGACCCTCCCCACCTGACGTATCCAGCAAGAGCCGGCTCAGGCCTTCTGCCCACGCGGTGATGGGTTCAGAGCCGCAAACAGCGGTGCTATTTGCATTGCCCAAGAGGAAGCTCATGCCCGGCGAGGGGGGCCGGGCTACCCCGGGGCTGTGGCTGTGCGAGACACTGCAGCGCCAGGGCTCTCATCAGGGAGACCCCGCTCCTGGGCAGCGAGGCAGTGTGGTGCAGCAGGTAGAGCTGGGATGCAGGGCTCTGGGAGCCCCCAGCCATGCTTCCCACCTTGGCATCGGCTCCCACTCCCAGTGGCACTGATGGGCAGCCACTGCCAGCCCCCATGCCCGGCCTGGCTCTGGGGGAGGCAACACCTGCATTAGTGCTCCCAAGCCAGGGCCTGCCCTGCCAGGGGTGGGAAGGCAACCGTCTCGCAGCCTTGGCCCGACCCACAGCCCCCGGCTTTTCCGTGGAGGAGGAAACCTCCCCCCACACCCCTGAAGGGCCGCGGAAACAAAGGGGAAGTTTCTGTCTCGGTGCACTGACGTCGCATGGGCGTGAGCAGGACTGGAGAGCGCTGCGAGCAGCTCCGGACCAGCCGCAGCATCTGGCACCGCCCAAGGGGAAGCTCCTGGCATTGGCTTGGCCCCTTCCCTGACTCCGCACCAAAGCCCCCTGCCCCCCGCTTCTCATTTGTGCCATGGGGAAGGGTTTGGGGGCCCTACTGCTGGGCCCCAGTGTGAGAGAGAGGTGGGTTGAATTGCTGGACAGGGTGGCAAAGAGCCTCTCCAAGGTGCTGGACCCCCTGAAGCTGCCCCGCACCTGTTCCCTGCACAGGGCCCAGACTGGAAATACAAGCCCTGGGTCCGGGGTGTTGTGGCCCCTGGGCCCCAGCTCAGCACGCAACCCTGGTAAGCACCCCCTGGCCACGGGACCTCCCCCTCCCCATCCCCATCCCCCCAGTCCTGGCTGCCATCCTGCAGCTGGCGGGGTCCTGCTGGGCCCTGCCAGCCGGGCCAGGCAGAGGGACGGGGGCGCGGGCAGGTGCTGACACCCAATTATTTCTCCAAGCTTGTGATGTGCAAATGCAGCTGAGCATGCAACCAAGACACCACTGCCGGGGCAGGGTGTGCGGCAGGCCCGGGCTCACACCTTCCTGGCCGGTCCCTGCTCTGCCCGGCGCTGTCTGTCACGCGAGGGCCATGGCTGCAGCCGGGCTTGCAGAGCGGTGCCGTCTTCCAGCCATTCGGGGCTCGCTCAGGGAAGGGAATCGTGAGCATTTCTCTTGGCAGGGGCCCCAGGTGAGGTTTGGGAGAGGGGCCCTGTGCATTGAGCGGCCCCGCTGGAGACCCAGCACAGTGGAGAGGGAGTGGAGGTGAAGAGGTCTCCGTGCCCCCCTCCCCACCGACAGGACTCGATTCCCACTGGGAGAGGCTGGGAACAAGCACAGCCCACCAGTGCGAGGCCAGCAGCTTGTCTAACTCTCCCCGCACTCCCCCAGTGCCAGGCAGAGACTCCTTAGTAGGTACCATGGCACAGTAGGGAAGTCAGGCAGTGGGATCGAGTCCCAGCCCTGCTCAGGCCCTCAAGCACATCATGCTCATCCGGGCAGACTGCATCCTAACCCAGAAGCACCTGTGGGCAGGCTGCTTAGCAGGCCTAATTAACCCACCCCGTGCTAAATAGCCCACACCTGGGGGGACATAGTGATGCTGCTTTGCTGGGAGCACTGCAAGGGCCAAGGCTGGGCCTGGTGAGTCCCCTTGCAGCCATCAGTCCTGTCCCTGCACGGCGCGGCGCCTGGTCGCGGTCGGAGCCGCCTGCGCGGTGCTCCAGCCGGCACGGCCGCAGGGGAGCTGCCCCGACGGCGCGCTCGCTCCAGGGCAACTGCTGCCGCCTCTGGGGAGCTGGCTCAGCCCGGGGCTTGCTAAATGCGAGGCTTGACAAGTGCCCACGGGGAGGCTGGGGGGACCCGGTCTGAAGCTGGATTGCCACAGCTGCGCGGGGCAAGACGCCGGACCCCGGTCCCAGCCGGGGCGTGGGAAGGTGCCTCCGCTCTCCCCTGCCGCGGCCCGCTCCACCTGTTGCGCAGGCTTGCAGGGATCCACGGTTTTTGTGCAGGCCCCTCTCTTCCCCCAGCTCTGCGACGGGGCTCAGCCCGGGCTCCCCGCAGAGGGGTCCTCGCTAGGCTCCCCAGGCGCTGCCGAAGCCTCAGCTCCGCGCTCCCCGCCGCGCTGCCTACGCCCCCAGCTCACTTCCTCAGAAACACCCCCACGTCTTCACCACCCTTCCTGCCACTTCTGCAGCATCTGGCCTCTGCAAAACTCCTGCAGACCCCAGCAGAGAGACCACGCAGGGGCAACGCCTCTCTGCTTTCCCCTTCCCTTCCGGGCATCCCTGCCTCGCCCGCCCCATCAGCAGCTTCTGGCTGGGGTGACTCCTCTCCTCACCCCGCCCGGTGCCTCGTCTGCTCGCGACCCCGGGCACTTCACCTCTCCCCAGCTCCCGCCCGTCGCCCACCGCCTCTGGGCAGCATCCCTGCAGAGCTGGTCCCTGCGTCTGCAGGAGATGGGCACGCCAGGCCTGGCCCGAGAGATCAGAAAAGCCTCCAGGACTGCTCCCCACCCTGTCCCCAGGTGCCAGCTGGACCGTGCAGTCGTGCCTAGCTGATCAGCAGGGGGAACTGCTGGGGCATTTCCTCTTTTCTCCTCCCCAGAGACCGCGCGCTGGCTGACGCTGCTGAGGGTGGCCTCCCTCTCCGCCTACCTGTGCCGCCCCAGTGCCGGGAAGGCTGCCAGCCGGGCATTCGGCACAGCTGGGCGAGAGCGCGGTCTCGGGGCGGTTTCTGTCGCAGCGGGTCTGTCTCGGGGTGCGTGCCTCCGGCTCACCCGGGCCCGGGGAGGGGAAGAGCCGTGGGAAAGAGGAGACCGGTGCTGGCGAGAGGAAAGGAGGATTTTTCTGTCTCATGTTCTCTCCGGGCTCCAAGTCGGGCAGGAGCCCTGCCAGCTTTCCTGGGGGGAGCTAAGACCCAGGCCATGGCCTAGCTGCCTCCTTGCCCCAGAGGAGAAGGAGCTGACCCACGGCCCCGGGCCCTGGGACCGTCCCACGCACTCGCTGAGCGCTCGTCATCGGAGGAGCCGGCTGCAGCGTCCCAAGGTGAGCGATGCCGTGATCACCTCGAGGCCGCAGAGCAAGAGGGCATCGGATCGGAGGTCACGGAGGGGCTTAGGAACTGGAGCCCGTAGTGTGTGTGTGTGCACACGTGCCTTGGGCAGGCAAGGGCCAGGGTCACACACGTGTGTGCATTCATGCATTGGGGGCCAAGGGCCAGGGTCGTGTGTGTGTGTGTGTGTGCGTGCATTGAGGGGCCAAGGGCCAGGGTCACACACATGTACGTATGTGTGTGTGTGTGTGTGCATCTACCTTCAGGTGCAGGGTTCCCAGCTCTGGCTATTCCACCAATGGCGTTAGGACGAGCCAGGCTGGCTTGTTGCCCTCTCAGCTGATTTGAAGCCCTTTTTAAGACATCAGGATTTTGATGGTGGTTTAACAGGTCAACGGGCAGCCCTTGCCCTCCTGTTGCAGTCTGCACACATGTATATGCACGTGTGTACATGCATGCATTCATGCATGACGTGTCTTCTGGAGAGAATTGCAACGGCTTGTCTGCGGGTCATATAGCTGCGTGTGGTGGCTCCTCTGAGGCTGAAGGAGAAGGGCTTTGTGATTGTTGGAGCAGCTGAGTGGTGTCCCCCGTCCTCCCCCAGGGCAGTGCAGCCCTCCTGGCCATGAGCACTGCGGACTAGCTGGTTGCAGTGAGATGCAGGGCGCAGTAAAGGTAGCGATGGAGGTTGCAGCGGCTCCAGCATCCTGGAGAGACAGGAATCTGTGTCCTCCCTTTAGGGAGCTCCCCACTTGCCTCCCCTTTTGGTTGTCTCTGCCCCTTCCTAACAGCGCGGTCCCCCTTCCTGTTAACGGCCAGGCGCGCAGGGAGGTGGGTGGGGAGCCAGGCCCTGCAGCCTGCCATAGTGTGTCTAAGGGGAACCACAGCCCACGCTTGGCTGCAGATGGACAAGAGGAGTCTGGAGGTGGGTGGTCACGGGGCTTGTTACACACGCTCGTAGCAGGGACACCTGCGTTGTGTGTGCGTGGCCCAGGATCCTGGGGGTCAGCAGCTCTGGCGTCTGTGTTGGATGACACGTGCACACACCCACATGCAAACACACACGTGCACATGTTAAACCCCCTCCATTTAGGCTGCCAAGTCACGCAGTCCAATGTCAGGAAATGCTGGACCTCGGGACCTTGCCTGTGCCCCTCTTGCACACGCGTGATGATACAGCTTTAATTACACGCTACCGCCTTCCAGCCCCTGCCCAGAACGCCCTGTGCCTGCTCCGTGTGAAGCAGTCCCACATTTGCTTGGCCTTTGCTGTTCAACCTGTGGTTTGGACTCGTTTCCTTGTTGGCTTTCCTGTGGTGCTAATTGCTATGGCAGCCAAGAGCTTCACAAGCAGGCAGTAGTGATTGGCAGGAGGGCACGGAGAGGCGGGGATTCTCCCCATTTCACACGTGAGGAACTGAGGCACGAAAACAAAGGTAAAACATTTGTGCTGCTTTTGGTGCCCGGTTTGGGATCGCTCAGAGCCCTGGCATGCCCCGGTGCTTGGCATACCCCTTTTCTGTTGGCATCGGCTGCAGCTGAGACCCCCAGCGTTTCTCCCAGCCCGACTCCAGGCCTCTGGGGACCGCAGGCCACAGCACTGGTGATGCCCCTTGAGGAGTGTAACCTAAGGGGCAAATTTTTACCCTCCAGTGGGAGTTGGGTGCCTAAATCCCTTTAAAAATCCGGGCCTAAGTGACTTGCTCAGCCAGACAGGAGCTCTGGGACAGGCAAGCCTAGTTCTCCAGCCCGTCACCCCCACCTGGCTCTCCTGCCCCTTGGCTAACTGCCCTGCTCACTTAAGCTGCTGCTCAGGTCTGGAAATGTTGCCCCTCTGATCCTCCTGCCCAGTTTGTCCCCCGGTGCCTTAAACACGAGACCGTCCGGCAAGGCCCTGCCTCGGTCACCCTCCTCCTCCCTGCTCCCCCACAGAGGAATGGGTGCCTGCAAACAACAGCCTCCTGCACATCTGGGCACTGATCCAGCCCCAGCTCCGTCTTGCCTGTCCCCAGAGGAGAAAGCAGCTTCCCCGGAGTATTTGGACACTGAGATTTGTCCAGGTTGGCCACGTTCGGGTGGGTTTTCACCACGGAGGCGAGATGCGTGTGTCGCACGGCTGCCTCCTGCCCGCCTCGACGCAGGACAGTTCTGGAGCCGGTGAGCGGAAAGGTAGCTGGACCTGCTTTGAATTTGGGTGAACGATATGGTTTTGTTCTCGAGCCTCGTTCTTGAGCCATTTGGGCTGAAATTAAGCAAAGCCAGATGGGGCAGACCTCTGGCAAACTGCAAATGCCTGTCACAGCAACCAGAGAATGAAAAGAGAAGGATGGAAAGAGGTGGCGCTACCTCTCCGGAGTAACACGGAGAGCAAGGCAGGCTCACGGGGGAGAGAGGCACCTGGGCTGGGAGCTGGGGCTCTCGGCCCGTGGAGCCGGCTGCACGTAACGTGTGCTGCGGCCTGGCTGCAGCCAGAGCCGGTTCCCATAACTCGGAAGGAACATGTGGTCATTGTAAAATAGTTCCTTAATTTTAGCATGGGGGAGCTGGCCTTTGCAAATGGCCACAAGGCTGGGTTTGTTTGAAGCATTCCTGATGAAAGCTGCTGCCTTCTGCTTCCTGGAAGCACGGTCATCTCTCCATGCAAATAGTTCATGCAGATCAGGGCAATGGTCTACCCTTGCTTTTCCTTGGTGTCAGTGGCAATGCCAGGGAGGGGGGAGGAGGGCCAAGCCCAGGGTGCTGGACCTCCCAAAACAAGCATGTTGCCCGGTGCTTCACTGAGTCCGATCCCAGCACGAAGGAGCCAGCCTGCTTTGTGAGGCTCGCCAGGGTGGGGACGTGCTCGTTTTGTTGCCCTGGGCCGTGTTTGCTTCTGCGTGACCTGAGGAGTCCCCGGCCCTGCGGTGCAAATAGGGAAATCCAGTAACAAAGGAGCCCGTTCCTGACGCAGCTGCTTCCGGGAGCCCACTTCCACCCCACCAGGGCTTGGCTCCGGCTCCTGCACCCAAGTCCCTTCCTCTCCGGGGTGCTGTTTGTGTGGGGAGACAGGCGGCTCTTCTTGGGGCAACACGTTTGCACGCGTGGTGAGTGACTAGTTTGCTTTAGCTGAGCTGGTGAGGCAACCTTTGAAAGGCTTTTGTGGAGCTCTCGTTAGCCCAGCCAGGTGGACGCAAGGCATTTTGGTTTGGATAAGGATTGCCCTGCCTCAGGCAAGGGTTGGGCTAGACTAGACCTCTGGAGGTCCCTTCCAGCCCCACGGCTCTACGATCGTAGGGCTGCGTCCGTGGGTGCAGGTTTTCTCCATTTACAGAGTGTCGGGGGTGTTGGTTGTAGCCGGGTTGGTCTACGGGCATAGGCAGACAAGTTCCTTGGGTAAATGTGATACCTTTTATTAGACCAGCTATTTAGTTGGAACAATTTGTTGTTTGCAAGCTTTCGGGTACAAACACCTGAAAGCTTGCAAAGAACAATTTTTCCATCTATTTAGCTGGTCTAATAAAAGCTATCGCATTTACCCAAGGAACTTGTCTGCCTCCAGCCACAGAGACACTGGAAGCTTGGCTGACCTGCTCGTGCTGCACTGGTCCATTGAAGATCAAAGCAAAAAGCAAGGCAACTTTTTTGGGAGGTGCACTCATTTCTTAGGTTATAGAGCAAATTTAAAAGAAAAACACAAACCAGACAAAAATCAATAATCCATTTTCATCAGTCCTGCAGTCATCCTGGTTAAATGCACCTCTCTTATTCAGAGCCATCAAACAACATCTAGGCTTCTTGAGTGTCTTGATCGGGCCTGCAGTACTTCAGTGTCGGTCGTGTCTACACCCAAGTTCATATGACCACACCTGAGTTAAGGGTTTGAGCCCTGAAAACAGTCTGCAAGGCTGTGAGACAGAAAAGCAAGGAAGGGGCAAGAGGCAGCAACTTTGAAGGAGGACAGGTCATTTGAGTAGTGGGACATCAAGACCGTGAAAAAGGAGAGAGGGTCCTTTTAAAAGCAGGGAGATTAGCAGGAGTGGGGTAGAAGATTGTAATGAGCCATGAGGTCAGTTGACTTCCTCAGAGCGGTGGGGGCTGCGTCCCTGCCTGCCCGCCCGCCCCTCGCAGCCCCTCGCCTAAGCGAAGCGTCTCGGGATGCGTCTCCCGTGCCCCCAGCCCCGGGCGGTGCAGAGGAAGGGCCGCTAGATCCCAGCACGCAGGTGTCTTCTCTTCCACCCTCCCTGGGTTTGGTTCCCCCCAGCGTCCCCAGCCTGCAAGGCCCCCAGAGCCACTCCCCGGTCTCGGGGTCAACTCAACCTGCCTGCGCCCACGTGCCACTGGCGGTTGCAACCACGACGAGTGCCCCGAAGGCCGAACCCGGGCCTGAGCTCCCACGGTCTGAGGAAGACGCTTGTTGCTTCATTGCTGTGGGGGTTTTGCTATTGCTAAAGACCTGGGGACAGTTGCAGTACGGCTGGTGTAACTGCTGTTTCAGCCCCTTAGTGCCTGACCTCAGCAATAAATTTGGCCCCCCCGGGGGTTTCCCGCATGCAACGACTTGGAGGAGGGGAAAAAAAAATCTTTCTCTTTCTGTCATTTGTGGAAGAAGTGCAAGGAGTAGCGTGGGCTCGGTCCCTTCCCTCCCTGCCTGGTTCTGGGGCTGAGCTCAGCCTGTCGGTGTGGAACGAGGGGGCAAGCACAGCGGAGGACGGAGGGCCGCGTGCATCAGCCAGGGCTGGCAGATACCCGTAATCAAAAGGCTGGAAAATCCCAAGGTCCAAATTGGGATGCAAGTTGCTATGCGAGTAAAATTTCCCCAGTGCTTGCCCCAGGGGGTGAACGGCAAGCCCAGATACTAGCAGCTGGGTGGCTAATGACAGGACTGGCGCGCTGGCCTGTCGCCTGGTGCTGGCATTCGTGACCTGAGCCTGCAGAAGGTGTGTGGGCTTGTGGAAAGTCAGGACGGTGCCCGTAGCGCCTCTGCCTCGCGGCTGCGACCTGGGGAGCGTGCATCTAAGTCCTGCCCAGGGGGACAGTCCTAAATAGCCAGCCCGTTCTTGTGCAAAGAGACGCTCAGGAAGAGGGGAACAGTGGAAAAGCGGAGGCTTGGCACATCTTGGTCCAGCCCGTAGCAGGCACGTCACATCCCTCATCTCTGCTGGGGCTGGAAGAGACCCAGATCAGAGGGGTTTACAGATCAGTGTGTGGGGGAAGCTGGTGTTTTGCATCCTGTGGGTAGGCGATGTCTTTTGGCCTGCTCATCTGGACCCTCTCCCGATGCCAAATGCACCAATGCAAACCATGGGGCAGGGGGAAAGGACTGGATGATGAATCGCTCTGGAGTGCGTTGCACAGCTCCAACTCCTTTGCTGGGTCTTTCTGGCTGCGCAAAGCATGCCGGGCCAGCCCGCACCCCGGCCAGGTGAGCCCCTCAGCAAGGACTTCAGGGCCTGACACCGGACCCTCACCTCCAGCCCAGACCCCGCCTTGCTGTCCCCTGCCTTGTCCCCCTCTGAGGCTATGGCTGCCTGGTGGCTCATGGGGCCGCACCCAGAGTCCGGGGAGGGCAGGGGGGCTCCACAAGTCACTGCAGTGCTTGGAGCTCTTTCGGGGAAGGGCGGTCCTGGAAGGACCCAGCAAGGATGGGGTGCTGTGGGGGGATGTTATCCTGGACCCTGGGAGGGAAAGGCTGTTTTCTCTCTGATAATTGGAGGGAGGCGGTTGCAACTCCGAGAGGCCGCAGCGCCCCTTTGGAAACAGGCTTCAGGTGTGCCTCAGTTTCCTCTCCCTGCCGTCTGCCTCCGAGGGCCCATCCTGGCAATGCTGAGCACCGCTGGCTGTTGCTGCTGGAGGGCCGCGGGCATTTGGGAACCCCAGGTCTGCTGCGTGGCCTGTCCTGGCTCCCCAGCAGGGCTCTGGCCATGCAGCACAGCAGCTGCCGGGGCTCCGGCGTGGGCTGTGGTTCTCGCGTGCTTCCTCCTGCAGCACCAGGCTCCTTCTCCTTCTCGTGCACCAAGCGAGGTCTCTCTAGGACAAAAGGAAACTGCTTTTTTCCACTGCTTGCAGCACATTTATTGCTGATGCCTGAAAGGGCCCTAGGGAGCTGGGGGAAAGGGCCGGCATGCCCCTGGGCAGCGAGATGGAGAGTGGCTGGGATGGCGTGGGGGGCTGCAGGCCAGGGTGGGGGGCTGCAGCTAGGACACAACGCCAGCTCGCACTGAGCCTGCAGAGAGCCCCCAAGACCTTGTGCTCCCCTCTCTTTGTCAAGTGGTGCTCTGCTTTATACGGTGGTTGGCTCTGCCCTTACAGGCAGCCGTGGCCTGTGCCAGGAGAAGGGGGTTCGGTGTCTGCACCAGCATTTCCCCTTTTGCTCTGCCCTGGTAGGACTATTAAATGGGAGTGCTGGACGAAGGGATGCTCAGGGCCTGGTTCACCCGTTGGTTGCTACTCCTTTGTGCAGCTCTGGCAGTGCCCGGGCTGTGGGCACGCCGGCCGTCGTGTATGAGACCTTCTCTAGGCCAAAGCCGCAGGAACCCGCGTCCTTCTCCCTTTCCTTGCCTCCCCTTTCAGTTGTCTCTGCCCCTTCCTAACAGCACGGCCCCCAGGGAGGTGGGTGGGGAGCCAGGCCCTGCAGCCTGCCATAGTGTGTCTAAGGGGAACCAGCGCCTGACCACATTTCTGTGGCTGCGGATGGACCAGAGGCATCTGGAGGTGGCCACGGGGCTTGTTACACGCATTCCTAGCAGGGAGACTAGCAAAAAAGAGTGGGGGGTGCCCAGGTATCGCTGGGGTGGCTTTAATAAATGATGACCCCTGCCCATCTGATTCTGCCCCCCTTTCCTCCCCTTTTAACGTGTGCGTGGACACGGCACCTCCGGCGGATCTGCCTGCACGTCCCTGTCGGCAGGGCCCGAGTGCTGCCGGCACTAAGGACTTTTTAATAGGACAGGAATTATCACCTGTTATCGAGTCTGTCTGGCAGCTGTGGCGGGCTCAGGCTCTCCGCGGGCCACGTCCTGAGAGGTGCCAGGTGCCTGCGACCGCCTTTCCCTGGTGAATTGGGCAGGAGCTGCAGGTGCCTGGCACCTTTTGGGATTTGGCCCGCTGGGTGTTTCAGCCGAGCACAGGCCTATTGCTTCTCGCTCCACTGGGCTTCTCCTGGCACGTGGTGCTGGAGGCCCTGGGAGTCCCAGCGAGGTGGGCTCGTGGCTGGGGAGGGTGTGGGGAACGTCCGCTCTGCGTGGCCAGCCAGCGCCGTGGGACCAGGGCATCGCCCATCGCAGCCACCTCCTAGCGACGCCAGCTTCCAAAACCCCATCCACGCCTCGCCTGGGAGCGGAGCCAGGCTGCTTCCCCTGCCCGGAGACTGCCCTTCCTGGGTGCATCAGCCAGACCTCCCTCTCCTGTGGCTCCCGTCCCTGGGTAATGCCCCTCTCTGTGCTGCAACCCCTCCGGGAAAGTCTTTAGCCGCCACTTCTCTCTTTCCCAAATCTGAAAACCTATGGGTTTCATCATGCCGCTTCTAGCCCTGCCGCGCAACCACGTGCCTGTGGGGAAGTGGCCTGGCGGTCCCTCCCCCCCCTCCCCCCCCTCTCCTGCCCCTGCGTGTAAGCTCCTTGGGGCTGGGATCGGCTGTCCCTCCTGTCCTGGGAAGTTCCTGCCCTGCCTTTGGGCACCGCCGGAGATCGCCATCCTGCTTGCGGCATGAGCTGACTGGGCTTTGCTGTGAAACGAGCTTATCTTGAAGCCAGAGGGTTAAGGGGTGCAATGGGACTCGTGGCCGTGGGTATGCAGGTATCTAGGGAGTAGAGACCCAGTCAGCACCTCGCCCTGGGCCTGAAAATTTGTGTGAGCAAGCAAGTGGCCTCCAATACCGTCGTCATCGGCACTCCCTTGATTCGAGGGTGGTCTCTGCCACGGCTCATTGATGGGTCTTGAGTTGACTTAAAAGTCCCATCCTTGAGCCACGGACCCGGCTGCAGAAATTGCAAGTCTTTCCACAGAGCAGAGCAGGCTGGGATCCTTCTCCTTTTTTTCTTCCTCCGCCCTCCTCTCTGCTGCGAGGGCAAGATGCTTCTCCTAAAAACGAGCTGCTGCTTGGTTGGGGTTGCAGCTGCCGTGCCGTTGGACCTCCAATACCATGAGGTTAGCAAGGGCTGAGCTCAGTTGCCCGTCCGTACACTCTCGCCCTACGGTGAGCGTGATCTAGGTCTCCCTGCTTTCACCAAGGGGCACCCCTGTACCACGAGGGAAGAGATGCACATGGTGCTTCCCACGGAGGAGCTGGCACGGGGCAACTCACTTCTTGCAGGAGAACTTGCTTGTGAAGCCATGTGCTAGGGTTGGGGGCACTAAACCAGGGCCCCGAAGACGTGTGGCAGCAGGAGCAGTGGGAGGCCGTGTCGGAGCAGGCGTGGGGAGGGTTGGGCGGCAGCTAGCGCAGGTTGCAGCGGGTGTCCACACTTCCTTCCTGAGTTGCGGGGAGCCCGGCCACGGGGACCATCTCAGCTTCTTCCTCTCTGCCGCAGGATGGGCTGCGTCAAGTCCAAGGAAATGGGCACGCCGATGAAGATCCTGAAAGGCGACTCGGGCCCCAGCCTCCAGCAGGCCCATTACGTGAAGGACCCCACGTCCCCCAACAAGAGAGTAAGGGCGGCGGGGCAGCTCACAGCCACGGGTCGGGGTAGAGAGATGCCCAGTGCAAGCGGCAGCCACAGAGGGGTTGGGGATGTGCTGTCCCAGCAGTTGCTCTGGGGGCAGGCGGGGGCCAGGCAGCCCCTGGGTGGAGGGGTTGGGTTTCTGGGCACAGTGCATCAGAAAGAGGCATTGCTGCATGAGTGCTGTGGTGGCTTAGTGCAGGGTTGGGAGCTCCTGATCCTTCCTGGGGAAAGTCGGGAGAACGAGCAGGAGGTGACGGGGAAGGGGTTGGAGGAAGGCAGTTTGGGGGCAGGGTCCTGCTGGACGCCACCAACCTGGGGGCTAAAGAGGAAATCCAGGTTGCAGGTGCCGCGCGCTGTGTGCACAGACGTCAGCGGTGCGGCGGGGCCCATCTGCTGGGCCCAGTCTCCCTCCTCCACGGGGCCCCGCACCCTTCGCTGCTCATCCCCCTCCTGCCGGCATTGCAGCAGCACGGAGACGGGTGAGCGTGATCGGATGGTGCCCGGTCGGGTGACAACGTGCTCCGTGTCCCTCGTCTTGTCTTCCAGAGCAATGTTTCCAGCGCGGCTCCACCCCAGCCGGCCGACGGTACGTACGGATGAGCCCTGCAGCCGGGCGCGCTGCGCGCTCGCTGCAGGCTTCGGGTCCCAGAGCAGAGTTGGATCTGGGCCCTTGTCTAGTGCAGGAGGGCCAAGCGTTGGCAGGTAGCTGGGGGCTGCAATGAGGCTTGTGCTCCCCCTCAGTCCCGAGCGCAGGGGGTGCCGTCGGTCCGGTGGAGCGCAGGTGCATCCCTGGGCCCAGCCAGCCCTACGGGACCGGTTCTGCAAAAACCCTGAAACTGCCGAGCATCAGGGCCTGCTCCTCCCTACGCATGCCTGGGAGGGGAGGGTTTGCTCTTGGTTTTGCTCCTCGCTGGGAGCAGAGGGCCCTGGGCTATTATAACAGGGGAGCTGGGTGATGTGGATGGATGAAGCTTGCCACGCTGTGGGGAGCTGGCGTGCACCCAGCTGGTGGGTACGTACGTTGGTGGTGCAGACCAGCGCTGAGCGGAGGGTGCCATCCAGCAGCAGCAGGCAGAGCCCCCTGAGAAAGGTCCCGGGAGGGCGGGGGGTCTCCTGGCTCCCCTGACCGGGGCGCCCATCTGGCCCGGCAGGCTCGGAGGACTGCACGGTCCTGGCTCTCTACGACTACGAAGCGACGCACGACGGGGACCTGAGCTTCCAGAAGGGCGAGCGCATGAAGGTCCTGGAGGAGTAAGTGCACGCGTCCTGCCCCGGCTCCTGGGGCTCTGTGGGGCGGTGAAGGCCGCGGGTCCCTCCAGGCCTGACTTGTCGGGGTAGGGCTGTGCTGTGGCATTGCAGCCCCAGCCTGGGTCCACGTGCCCCGCAGATGCACGAGACCCCTCGGGCTCCTCAAACCCCTGCCTCGGGCTCAAAGCCAAGAGGCCGCCTGGGCTGTGCGAGCACGGGGAGAGCGAGCTCACGGCTGCCCCTTCTCTCCCCAGGGCAGGAGAATGGTGGAAGGCCAAGTCGCTCGCCACGGGACACGAAGGCTACATCCCTAGTAACTACGTGGCTCGGGTGAACTCCCTGGAGACCGAGGAGTGAGTGCCGGGGAGGATCTCTGCACCAGGATGCTGCCGCGCGCGCCTCTTCTCTGCCCGCTCCGGCCACCGCTTTCTGCCTCTCCGGGTTCGCTCTGCTGCTCTTCTCCGCTTGCTGCTCCTCCGGACCCGGCACGACGGGGAGGGAGCTCTCTCGCCGTCCTGGCACCTCCCTACCTCTTGCTTCGGGAGCCTGGGAGCAGCCTGAGGGAGCGCGAGCGGGCTCCGTGCGGGGCGCTTTGGTCCCCCTCCACTTCGTGCTCCTGACCTGGCGGGGTGCGAAGCTAGAGAAGAAAATGCCTTGCTTTAGGAGCCTCCTTGCTGCTCCCCGGGGAAGGTGTGATGCCAGAGGCTGGTACAGGCCAGGGCTCAGGCTGGAGCGGGGACGGGCGTGTTGCTTCTGCAGGGAACGGCCCTGGGGAAGCTGGGCTGGATGGAGGACTCTTCCCTGGGCAGGTGCCCTCCTCTGGTGGGCTCGCCGTCATCCTGGCAGCACCTGGGGCATGTCCGAGGGTGGGAAGCCTAGGACCGGCTGCCTCGTGCCACCCTGGCCGCCGGGCTGTCTCCGGTCTCGCCCTGCAGGTGGTTCTTCAAAGGCGTCAGCCGGAAGGACGCGGAGCGGCAGCTCCTGGCCCCTGGGAACATGATCGGCTCCTTCATGATACGGGACAGCGAGACCACCAAAGGTGAGAGAGGGCCCAGGCTCCAGTCTGCGGTTGGGACATGGGAAGGGGCTGGCTGTGAGCTGGCCCCGCTCTCGGGGTCCGAGTTCATGCCCTGAGCTGCGGCTGAGCTCCTACTCTCCGCCGCAGGCTCCCACGTAGTCAAAAGTGGGTGGGGAGGCCTTCAGGAAATGTCTCCACCTGAGGCCGAGGCAGACTTTATCTGGTTCTCGCCTGCTCTCACCACTTCCTTGTGCCTGCACGCGAGGGAATTGCTCCGGCTGCAGGCTGAGCATCCCGGCGACAAGCTTCGAGCCACGACTGCAGCCGACAAGGGGCCACGGGAGCCGAGGGGAGGCAGGGAGGAGGGGCGAGCAGAGCCCTCGGTTGGGCAGCACCGGGGCTGGGGGGCACAGCGGGCACCTGTGGCTGCCTGCTCCCTCCAGGGCCTCAGCCGGGGTCTTCCCCCATCTCGGCCCAGGCTGCTACTCCCTGTCCGTGAGGGACTTCGACACGCAGAACGGGGACACGGTGAAGCATTACAAGATCCGGACGCTGGACAACGGCGGCTTCTACATCTCGCCGCGCAACAGCTTCTCCACGCTGATAGAGCTGGTCGACCACTATAAGAGTGAGGCCCTGCACGCGCGATCCCCGAGCTGCCTCTGCTCCTGCGGGCAGGAGGGCATCGCCCCCAGGCTCGCCCCTGCCCGCCAGCTGCTATCGCCACGGGGCGGCTCTGCTCCCTCCAGAGAGGCAGCATGGGGGAGAGCAGCAGTTCCCCACGCAGCCTGGCCCCCCGAGCGGGATTTCTCCAGGCCCCCTGATCCCGCTCGTTAAGTGCTGCTCCCCTCATTTGGCATCTTCCAGCGAGTGGGTTACAGGTGGTCAATGGGTCGAATCCAGCTCTGGTCTGTCAGGCGGACGAGTCCTTGGCCCCGAGCTGCTGGCGTGTGGGTTTGCTCTACCCAGGCCTGATCAGCAATGCTCGCTGCTCTTTTCCAGACCAGAGCGATGGGCTGTGCCAGAAACTCACGTTCCCCTGCACGGCGCTGAAGCCCCAGAAGCCTTGGGAGAAAGACGCCTGGGAAATCCCCCGCGAGTCCCTGAAGCTGGAGAAGAAGCTGGGAGCTGGGCAGTTCGGAGAAGTGTGGATGGGTGAGAGCTGGGCGGACAGGAGGGGTCATGGGGACGGGCGAGGATGGCACTGGGAGGGACTGGGCCATAGTGGAGATGAGGTCTCTGTGGCTGACGGCGGTGGGGGAAGGATGTGAATCACCAGATGTGATCTGATATTGGTGTCGGGGCCCTGACATCCTGTGCTGTCCTGGTGGGGGTGGGGCCTGACCTTGACGAGCGCCCTGTCCCTGCCAGCCACCTACAACAAGCACACCAAGGTGGCGGTGAAGACCATGAAGCCAGGCAGCATGTCCGTGGAAGCGTTCCTGGCGGAGGCCAACCTCATGAAGTCGCTGCAGCACGACAAGCTGGTGAAGCTGCATGCGGTGGTGACCAAGGAGGAGCCCATCTATATCATCACCGAGTTCATGGAGAAAGGTGCGTCCTGGGGGTGGGGATCCGGTGCCCCAGGTTCAAGCTCGCCGTGCTCCTGGGCATCCCCAGGGCTGAGGCTGTTTGCTTTGCCCCTCTTGGGAGCTATCGGAGCACATTGCCCGGCCGGAGGCTCGTGCGGCGCAGCAGGATGCACCATGCGGCTGGAAAGACATGATAGCGGAGGGAGGAAAGGGAACGGGAAACGGGGAAGACGACAAGCACATGCAAGGGGCACGTGGCACTGGGCTGCCCTGGGGCTAATCCCTCCCCCACCCCAGCGGGGCAGATAGCAGGGGTGCTGTGACCCCCACACTGTGAGGGGCCATGAGCCCCTCTAGTCCTTGCTCCAGAGATGAGCGGGACTGAGGAACCTGGCGGTCTCTCTCGTGGGAGCGTGGCAAGAGCATCCAGGCTGCTCGGAGCCAGGGCCCCGGGCAGGGACCCCCTGGCTCTCGGCGAGACCCTGTCCTGAGCCCCCCTGCCCCCTCCACAGGCAGCTTGCTGGACTTCCTGAAGAGCGACGAAGGGAACAAGCAGCCTCTCCCAAAGCTGATCGACTTCTCCGCCCAGGTAAGGAGGGACCCTGCCGGGGCTGAGAGGGGCTCCGCTTCTGCCCTGCGTCGGGGCGGGGAAGCTTTGGCTCCAAATTTGGGGCCGAAGCTGCTGAGGAGGCTCTGATGGGCTTGAGCACAGCTGGACTGTGGGATGCTGCTGGGCCTATTGCTGTGTGCAGGGGGTCTGAAGGCAGGCTAACCCGTCGCCCTGGGGCTGGTCCCTGAGGGCGGTGGGGCCGGGAGGACTGGCAGCCTGCGGCTCCTGATGCCTCCTGCCCCTAGAGTCAGTGCAACCGCGAGCCGGGCATCACCCCTGGGCCTGCTTCCCATCTGACTTATGCTGGGGGTGGGCAAGGAGAGCCAAGCTGTCTGCACCCCACTTCCACGGCCTTTCAAAAGGCTGAGAACAATCCTTGCCCATCTCCCAGGGGGCGCAGAGCATTAGCAGCTAATGCCTGCAAAGCAGCTGGAAGGCAAATCGCTCCGTTAGGTTATGGGAAGGAAGTGGGTTGGCACCAGGAGCTGCAGCGATCAGAAGTGTCCGGCCTCTCGGTCAGCAACTTCTGGAAAAGAGGCGCGCGGGAGCGCGTTTCGTGCCTGTCGTGCCTGGGACAGGCTCCAGGAAGGATCCGATTGTTCAGGGTCTAACAATGCCGGGTTGTGCTCCGGATTTGAATATGCAAACCGGCCCGCTAGCACCCCAGGAAAATGTGCGGGTGTTCGGGGAGGGGTTGGCGCTCTCCCTGCCGGCAGAAAGGCCGCCTGGAGATAATCCAGCGCGCCTCCCTGCTCCCGTCCCTTCCGCCGGGCTGCTGTTCTCGCCCTGCCCTGCAAAACAACCGGCCTCTGGTTCGCAACTGTCCCCCGGCCCCGCGGCCAGCTGTGCGCAGCCTGGGAGCAGGTGCGCGGCAGGCGGCCTTGGCAGAAAGGGAAGTTGCTGTTTACTCATGGTTAACCCTTAACTGTAGCGTGTGCACCGGGACTTGTTTCGCTCCCATTCTGCAGCAAGAGACGTCTCTGCACATGTTGCGGTGGGTTTTTCCCTCCTTCGTGTGGGTGCAGGAGAGGGGAAAGCCAGATTCACTTCTGTGCCCCCCCCCACCGTTTTGCTCTACCCCATCTCCGGGAGGCAGCTAAGGTGCCCTGGCTGCCAAGCTATAGCTCAGATGGAGCGGGACCAGGAGCTCTGGTTGTTGACAGCCTGGTGACCAGTCCTGAACCCAGTGTTGTTCCTGCCCCAGGGCTCCTCCGGGTCACTGGGCTTTCCAGCCTGGTGTTCGGAGTCTAAGATCCACCAGCTCTCCTGATCTGCAGCTGTTGCCCACGTGTTAGGAAACAGCGCTAGACATTTAGGGGACTTGACACATGTCAGCACCGGGTTTGTGCTGATCATCCCAAGCCCCTTGATGGCTTTGAGAGATGGAGCCACTTTGCAGCCAGCTCACGTGATGCCACGGTTACATTCTCACGATGCCGCACACGGGTATGTTGCAGAAAGTCCGTTTTTAGGATGAAGGTTTATCACTTCAAACTGGCTCTATCCGTGCGTCTGTCAAACGAACCGCGTTTAGCCATGAACGCAGCCAGTCATCATTTACTGCAGGGTTTTATGGCCGCAGTAAATAATGGACTATCTTGTTGTGTAGATTCACTTTTGTCCATTGGTTTATTGTGGCTCGGCCTTTGTATCCTGTGATACACCACACGCAAGTGCCCCTGGCCCTCCAGCCAGCGTTCACACTTTAGGCACAATCGCCGCATGTAAATGAAGTCTACAGAGCACAATGCAGTAGCTATATATAGCGGTTCTGGATTTTCACAGGTGGCACCTTATCCTTCTTGCTTGTCACTGCATGCTCGGCTGCTCTCATCGCTAGCAGCGATGCCGAGTGCTAGGTTACAGTGCACCGCTCTCGGCACCTGCACAACTTTACAGCGTAGTCTGCCGAGACGTCCGACGGGGACGAAGCCCATCAGCTGCTCTGAGTACAGTTGTCCATACAGGCAGCCAGGCTCTCTGGCCAGGGGACTCCAGATTTGCTAGGGATTGTATTTTTTGGAAACATTTTTCTTAACTTGTTCCCTGGGCAGCCCCGAGAGCTGTCCCAGCCTGGCTTAGGAGGGTGCAGTGCTTTCACACCTTCTGTTTTTCTGGGCAAATAGCACTAAGTTTGGCAACATCCAGGGTTGTGATGCCATTGGGGCAGTCAGAAAGAGGCATTCAGCATTTAGGTCTTTGCAGGATCTTCCTAACAAGTTGTTCATTAGTGGTGGTGGCGTGCACGTGATTCATAGATTCATAGATGTTAGGGTCGGAAGGGACCTCAATAGATCATCGAGTCCGACCCCCTGCATAG